ATCTATCTATCTATCTATGTGTCATGTCGCGTTTGGACCACCGGAAGTTAAGAATTTAATAATTAACTATTGGGTTGGCTGTGTTATTACATGACCGGAAGCTCAAGCGTATTGATGTACGAATATCGTTAGTAAATGTTATATGCTACTTGGCTTTTATATGACAAAAAAACTATTCGTTTACAAATGTGGTATCTGTGATCTCATCGGAATGCGTCTGTCTAGGCATTAGAAGTACGCGCATGTGCAGATCGCATAGAGTTTCGAGTTGTATGCTTACAAAACTGAATCAATATCCTTTCTAGTGTTAGACAGTCTTGTGGGGGTAAAGATTTCAAATTAGAACAAGAAGAAACTTTGTTTATCAATAACAGAAAGGCGAATTTAATGATTTTATAGGCATCTTTTTCCTTGTAAAGTTTTTATTTTCTTTGCCTGAGAGGTCAACGTTTTAGATATCATATATCACTTAGCGAGACATTTGTCTGAGCTAGTTGATGTTATCAGTGAAAGCAAGCCACGTTCTTATCGCGTTAATTACATTGACCTTTTAGGTCAAGTTTATTTAAAGTCTCAATAAATTTTGCATATTTTGAACTAGACGCTCTTATTACACCGTGAGTTCGGCTGTTTTGGRAAAAAAAGTTAAGAAATATYTTYATCCATGTAATATCCTGTCTTTCTCAATTTTCACAAGCAGCTAGTCCGACTTCACGCTCCCAGAGCGTCTAGTTATATTTCAATTTTGACCAAATCGCGCGCCACATTGCAAATTTGGTTGGAATATCAAAACCATGGATAGCAACCGAGGATAATTCACGTGTGCATGAAATTACGTTTATTTTACATGGACGCTGTTTTGGATTCTTTTGAGAGTCCCATACAGTTGCATTGTTTTTTTTTCCTTTTTTTGAATGAACGCATAATATTTCTAATTTTTTTTAAAAACTAGAAAAAAGGGACTGGTTTGCCACTTTAACCCACCCCTACACCAACCTAGCCCCTACCCCACAACCCAAACCTCATGATTACCAGTAAAAATCCGCCTAACAGGGTCTTGTTTACCTATGGAAGATCGATGAATGAAATTATTAGAGTGTCTCGTCTAGCCATTCATGACTTATGCATTAAAGGGCTACTTGGACGAAAATTGCGAAACATGAAAAAAAAAAATTGGAAATCAAATAGAACTATCCATATGGGTCCAATAATCATGAAGCAACAGATTTTAAGAAGATATTGATACAAATCCTTCATAATTTGGACAAAACATGTTAGAGTAGACTATGACGTCATTTACTCCATCCGGTTGGTGACCTAGTACTAAGGATTTTTTTTGATTTCTTAACCCGTTGTAGCGGGTTGAGGCAAACCGTTGTAGCGAATTTACTCCAATAAGGGCTGTCTTTTTGGTCAGGTAATTGATCTTGCAAATCTATGTTGTATTATAGATTTACAACACGGACGTCACAAAGACATAGCAGCACTCGCTTATTCAATATTGGTTCAGCGATGAGACCGAGTTTGCTTGGCTTGATGAATCTGATCTAAATATTTTTTTCCTCTCGGACCTCTTGTTCCTTATGGGATTAGATTAGACTCCGCTAAACTAGATAACACACTGCAGAAGCATCCAACGTCTTTCAATACAGAACGTCTCTTCCCTGATGTCACATTAATGACACCATTTAATGTAATTTTATGAATGTTAACCTCGTCCATGTTTCCCAAAAGACATTGTAAATATCACATGACTTTACAGAACTGTCAATCACTGGATTTCGAGTTTTGCCATATGCTAATTGTTTATGATTAGATTACAGTTAATTAGTGGCTTGTTTCCTAATGTTATGCATTAATATTATAGATCCTAGAAGACTCAACGACTCTCGTTTACCAATACGAACATTGCAATTCAAAATACATGACCACGTGGCTCTATGTCATCCTTGGATACAAAGTCTTGATCTTATTGGTTGGCTGCTTTATTGCTGTAGTAACACGCAAAGTGAAGGCCAGGGCACTAAACGACTCGCAGCTAATTGGTTCAAGCATTTACGTCATCACTGCATCAGCACTGATGGGATTACCATTGGTGTTCCTGATTCCAGACAAAAATGCAGTCGTGGCTGTTTTATGTTTTGCTCTACTTCTTCCAACTACGATCTCTTTGTGTATTATATTCATTCCCAAGGTAAATTAATCGAACTCCTTTGACTTAAGTCTATAAATATCTTTGTGAATGATTTTTATAATCGACTTCTGAAACTTTTGCGTCACTATACTTGATTTTCAATGCATTGTGGGATCAGTTTCTAGAGAAAACAAAAGAAACCGCCTTGTTCTGCACCAAAAATATCCTACAATGCATTGCGTATACGGTATATGACTTAAAGGCGGTAGAGGTCTATTGTAAAACGCGAATTCTATTGAAAGATAAAGGAAAACTGGRTTAAGGATGTTACTGATATTATTGTTTTTGCAACAATTTGCTTTAGATGTTTATGATCAGGAAACACTCTCAAGAACCAATCCCACTTAAGTCTTTGTCGGTCATGCGCAATACGAATGACATCAACATCCAATCACGAGACTTCTCCGGACGTGACGCTAATGCGAAAGAAGATCGCAAGGCTCTACATAATACTTCTCTAGAAGCTGAGGATTTCGATGGGTAGGTATTATACATCTACTCAAAAACCATAAAACTGTTGGAAATTTTTCATTACACATTTCCCGAGTAGAATCGGTAGCCCCTCAATAACCATTATGATATAAATACCCATTCTTGTGATTCTGACTATGATTATGAAATTATTTCAGTCACAGTTGACATAAGGACGTGAGAAATTTTACAATGTGAACTATTTGACACTGAAAAAAAACGAGCACTTTAAAGGTTTGTAAATCTGATGTAAATATAGTGTCCAAAATGATGTAAATTTGCTGTAAATCATTTACATCATATTTACATCATTTACATCATATTTACACCATTTACATCATATTTACATCATTTACATCATATTTACACCAAATTAACAACCTTTTAAAGTGCGCAATTTTTTCCAGTGTGAGAACCAGCGTTTGARAAAGTCTTGGATAGGAATGATGAYAAAATTCCTTGTTCGAACGAGAACTTGCAGTTTTAAAATAAAATCTAAACTTTTCAAGGTTTATTTATATATCAGGTACAACGACAGTGTTGCTAGTACACCACAATCTGCAAGGAAGCATTTCACCTTACGCTCAAACACGTTTCAAGACTTATCAGAAARCCCYAAACAACGACCAGGCAACCAGCATCGTAGATATAACACCATTTCAGTCCCTTCAAAGCAAACTACCTTGAACCCGAGACCAAAACTAGACGACAATCATCACATCGATCTTAAAGTTGAGAATGCTAGTCTAAGAAGAAAGCTTCACCACACGAAGATTACTGAGGCTGGTAAAATGTGTAAGGTGCTGTACGAAAACGCAGAATTAAATAGGTAACTAAATTATTAAAAACAAAGTATTCTGCAGTTGTTCACCATGCAGTTCTCCCTAAAAAACTGCTCAATGTTAGGTGCTTATCGCACTAGGTAGACTATGATACTGTACCGCACACGGTACACTATCGAACTAGGTAGACTATGATACTGTACCGGCCACGGTACACTATCGATCTAGGTAGACTATGATACTGTACCGTACACGGTACACTATCGCAATAGGTAGATTATGATACCGTACCGCATACGGTACACTATCCCACTAGGTAGACTATGGCACTGTACCGCAATAGGTACACTATCGCACTAGGTAGGACTTTTCCAGCCAAATTTTAACTAAATTGGAACAGAGTTGTACTAAATTGTAATAAATCACTTCTTGTTCATGTGTGGTTTAAATTAAAGAGAAAGAACAGAAAATAATAGCAAAAAATTTGTTTGGGAGACTTCCGCTCAAGTAGATACTGTAATAATAATGATGATGATGGTGTTAAAGATAAAGATAAGGATGATGTGAATCACGACAAATTGTAATGAAAACAATAATGGCTATTGTCTTACAACGTCTATTTCTAGAAAACTTGTCGAGGTAAGCATGACACAAAACCAAGACCATGACATCACAGACACCGTTTCACGCCTAATGAAAGAAAACAATGAGCTGAAAAGACAACTTGGTGAAGTAAGCATATTGAACTCTGCCGCGACTGATACGACTCCTCGCATGAAAAGAAAAGGAATRGAACACAACAAACGAGATTTGAAAGAGGTTGGTGCCGCTATAAAAGTATAAAGGATTTTAAATTATTAGTAATAATCATTGATTTATTATTGATTTATTTCTTGAGATTGTTTTTCCTGTTCTCGTTAMTATCATGTCATTATTCTTCACTTCCAGCTTCAACACTTGTTAGAAGTTGACCTTGGAGGAGGAAGGGCGAGCTCATTACGATCCAACAATAAACGACCTCCTACGATCGGCCTGTCACAGTCCTCCCTGAACCTTCTAGATACAAAGGAAACCCGCCATGACATAGCAGGAGATAGTAATAGCGAAAAATGTGAAAAGATTGGCAATCTGAACAATAACGAAGAGAATACAAAAAGTGTCGAAAATATTGAAAGCACYGATATCCTTTTAAATCCAAGTAACGATAATAAAACAGAAGAAATAATGGAAGCTACAACACGAAACGAAAATAAAGACATCAAAGAAAACGAGCCAATAGGAGAGCAAGATAATCACGGATTCCTTGAGGACTCCACAACCGCTGATCAAAGCTCAGAACATTCACATGAACTAGCTTTAGGCAAAAATTCAGAATCAATGACTTTGGATAAACTGATGTTTGATGAATATGCGAAAAGCAAAACTAAAGAACTGCTGGAGAAAGGCTCAGTACATATCAACCCACCATTTGACAATCCAACGTTTGAGGGAGAAAAAGAAGACGTTCGGAAATCCGAAAACGGGCGGAACCTATCCGAAAACGKTACRAAGCRCGACTTAAGCGAGTCGAAAGAAACCCGGACTGTTATCGGCTGTGACGATAGTGAAGCTAAAAAATCCTACCAATCTCCCTCGGTCATAGAAACGAACAATTCTGACGAAAAAACTGGTGAAGAAGGATGTGGTATTGTCAGAAAACAAAGGAAATCTAAAAGAGATAAGAAAACGAAAATAGAAAAAGTTGAAAAGACKTTTTTTGTATGAAATATGGGAAATCAATATTKCAATAAAAACATATMTATAATACAATCCTGTTATGCAATGATGCTAAAACCTACTCAACAAAAAAATGCCAGCGGCAAATCCAGAATTTTCTCCAGGGAGGGGTGCRTTATATTATAAATTACCACAAAGGAGAATACAGTTAAAGGAGACGACCACCAGCTGGATCWGTCCGAGAATATGGGCCTTAAAACGTTTGATGAGATATCTTATGTTGTATAGCAATACATATATGTTGAGATAATCCCATCTCAACGATCAAACTAACAGTTTCATCAATGACTATTTTTTCAATGTAATACCAGTTGAATCATTGGTATGTTAACCAACAATACCCCGATAATGACGAGAACGGCAGGGGCACGAAGTAGTGAGTTTTTGTTAGACTCTTGAGATTGAACATCAGGTCCATCGCTGTTCTYTTCGGTCTCTTCGTTCTCGRTTGTTGTTGGGTTTGTCCATTKGATAGGTCCGGTAGGATCRGTAGGAAACGTTGGATTGAAGCAAGACTGACTAGTACGGCAACGCTTCGCTGTCGTCAAACCTGCAGTAGTCATCTTCGTGGCTAACGGTGAGACCTGCAGATCAAATACAGGATAACAGGCCTTGTTAATTAGATCAAAGTCTTCCTCATGTTGGTTCGATTCTTTGACGACTTTCCCCCAACACTCAAGCGGACCAAGCTGTAAACTTGAGTTGATATTAACAGTAGCTTTATYAAACATAATTTTTGTCACTGGAAGTTGGTGAATAATGTCTATGTACCCCTTACCACCTATCAAAATAGTCCCCTTGTTAGCACAGCTGCAGTTAGATTTGATTTGGTTAACCGTGCATTGAGTTATATTGCTCRTCTCGCAASCACATATTCTACTGTTATTGAATACTGTATCCCAAATATTGTACTTGTGGTTGTTAAGCGACGTCCAGAACACATGCGCARAACTGTTCAAAGAATTCATCTGAATGGAATKTACACAGTCCAGGCTAATGTACTGCCGGCATACTTTACTGTGTCGAATRAGAGCTGCAATTTTTCTTTCCTGGATATTATGATAGTTCACTTTATGTACATAATACCGTTCATTGATTTGTTCGCCATCTTGTGCTCTTACGGGTCTGCCTATTTCAAGGTTGTGCTTTATGACAGTGTATGCTCTCTTAGGSTCGGTAACGTTACAAAGCGCCGTGAACCTGTCTTTGGAGTTGCTTGTCCCCGTGTGTAGTAAGCAATGWGCATCTTTAGTCAAACCTAGGAGTCTGTAATCCTCGCAGGTTGATTTCAAAACTGGYACTTCGCAAGTCAGTCCTTTGAAATAAGTACCCAGACAATTGCAATAAAAYGTCTTCCAGTCCTGCCGACACGTTCCTCCGTTTAGACAAGGATTAGGGTTACACTTGTCTCTCATTGAACACTTTGTCCCGTCGACCCTCTGCGAGAACCGCGGTTTGATCATAASCTTGAGTGCAATGTTTAGATCATCTATGTTAAGATTCGCCATGCAWCCCACAAACCCTGGAAACCTAGACAARGAACCGCCACGCCCTGCGAAAACCTTCATTCGCGATTGATTCGAGAAACTCACMAGCAATGAAGACATATTTAGCATCAGGGATCTTGTGTATTCGTCTAGAGTGAGGCTAACCTTCTGTGTSGAAATYAACGCAGTGACGTCATGCCACTCCCCGTCATTTAAACGTTTTCCCATTACRATCTGGTGTTTAGAGCCGTTATGAGGCATGACTTCGTAAATCAATGTCCCATCTTGGAGTCGGATTTTCATCTTGACTTTAACAGCGCTGCGAGAGAACAAAAGCCCATAGGGATAAAACGTACGGAATTTGAAGCTCACTGTAAACGAGTCATTCTCGTAAGGCCGTTTAGGTAATTTCACTTTGATAAATGACTGAGGCGTTTTAAATGTCACAGGACGAAGATTCTYCATTTCACATTTAAATGGTAYATGTCCATACACATCATAAAGCGWATTTCGTGGGAGCCTCGCRAGGGCACGTTGCGCTCCTTTTAATAATTCTATACCATCGACTCGTAAATCTGCGAGGCATCCGCGAAARTGCTGAGTATTGATCCCTAGGTTCTTCATGTTATTCATTCCTCCCACAAACACATAGCCGTTAAGGCGGATGCGCCCATGAGGCCCTGCGAGAATCTTAGTGGCGGGAGACTGGGAATCAACTTTGAGTGTTGTGATTCTTCGTCGTCTTTGTACCACAACAGTATGCCATTCATCGTTGAACAAGTTGTTGCCGGCTTCTAAACTTATTTTTTCCCCATGTCCAATACGAAGCGTGTACCTGAAAATATACAATAATCTCAACACTTTGACTGGAATCAGAAAATAAGAACATAGCTTGTAGCAGTAAATAAAAGTAAAAAAAAAAAAAAAAAACAGAAAAAGACACCCATGCGAGGCTTAAGGTACTTTACTGTAATTAGAAGGAATATATATGTGCCACTAAATAGGTTGTCAGTATATTAATGTCTCCCCTACAAATTAACCAATCGAAAACTTCAAAGAAAATTTATCTAWTGCCGTAGTTTTTGAAGAATAAACTGCCTTTGTCTTTTATACAATATGTGAGTAAATTTTAAAATGTCCTAACCATCTATTTTAAATGTTCGAGACAACAAGCGAAATAAAAAACGAATAGCAAACGGGAAAGACGCGCATTCTACACCCCTTAAAAGCAATTACTTACAACTACGAGAATATGACRTTACAAACCTTAGAACACCGTTGACTAACTCTAGCTGGATATAGTCCACAGCACCCCTGCAATACAGCAGCAACCCAGATGGGTGGATCGTCTTRAARCGAAGATAAATAACRTTTTTATCWACTGGAATRGGCTCGTCTTTGAGGCTGTAGCTGAAGTATCCACCATCATGGAATGTCACTTCGATGGCATGCAMCGACAAGACGTTGAAACTCAAAATAGTATACCATAGGAGGACAGATCTACACATTTTAACCAACTACAACGAACTTTTGAATACAATAATTAGTGCTAAGTAGTTAGATTTCAATACACGGAAAAGAAGTTCAATCGAATCAGTTCAATATTGTAGATATACGCCTTTSTACTTAAAATACAATTAGATCTTGTTTACGACTTGCTATCAAAAGTTCTCGCACAATCAAGTGATCAAAGTTCGAGGTTTTGCCGTATCRAGGATAAAAACCCTGATTTTCAATCTAAACCAATCCAATGGAGAGTATGTAATTGAGTTTTAATAGATTGACGCTTACTGCAGAGACCAGGTGTGTGTCAGTGACCAGATATGCACATCTCTTCGTCTCGCCATGTTTTATTGATTCCCTTTTACTTCGGTTCGAGTTGTTCTCTAATGCTTTATATTCTTTTCTCCTTTCTGCTCAAAAATAACGCGAATATCGTCCTCATCAAAAAAACTCGAATAGAAAAGCTATGTACAATGACCACAGATAAAATCAGATATGAAAAGGTATAACAAAACCAACACGAGAAAAAAATGCCGGTGTCGATAATGAATTATCSTTGAAGCCGCATCCACACTGACATCGTTTTCTGATAATTGACAAGAACAAAACTCTTGACACTTTAAAAGTACAAATTTCAAGGGAAAAAATCTTGTTGCCGAGTCATATGCAACTTGCCATATACAATAGCCTCGTAATTTTCTCTAGTAATTTGTATAGAACATACGTAGGTATATCAGGAAATATAAAATAATGAAAAAGAAAGAATGGAAACCAAAACAAAAACATAAATAACACAACAAAAAATAGATGTGATTTTAAGTGTGAATATTCATCGTCAGAGTTAGGTTCAGAAACCTGATAACTAGTTGATTAGAGAGAACCAGGATTTGCGGTTTTAGATCAAGCACATATCARAATAGATACAAATAGCGACTATTACGTCAAAACTGCTTTTTAACTTTGAGATTAAAACTGATTCTAATGTTTTTATCTAATTGATTCTTTAAATGTCACATCTTGTGAAGAAGATCAAGAGATTTCGCAAACCTTTTAATTGGTATTTGCAAGATGTGACATCACAACCTCAATTCTGGCAATGCATTCAGGTTTATTGTAGAGTTTTTTTTGGCGATTTTAATTTCTAATAATTACATTTCGAAAGGACTGTATTTCAATCGAAGTCAGCACGTATTCGCTGTGTTAAATTATTGTTCATTCAGTCTACAGCGAGMTGCCGACGARCATTTTTCATAAGAATAAGAAATACCGCAACTTTTATCAAATTGCATGAATTCCAGTCTGTTTCTGAAATCTATCATAAAATTTAATGSTCTCAGATGAAGTTCGGGGTTTGACTGCTGCAAGAGCTTTCTCGAAATGTTTCCATCGCACTTCTTCAGCTTGTAAACTCTCCTCTAAAGCAGCTAATGCCGYCTCTTTACAMACCGCAGCAATCTCAGCTCCCGAATAACCCTCAGTTCTTTCACYYAAATCCTCAATACTGACGTCATYACCACAGGGAGTCCGCGACAAGTGTATTTTAAGAATGTCYTCTCGTGTATCCCAGTCAGGTAATGGTACGTAAATTATTCTATCCAGTCGACCAGGTCTCATCATTGCTTTATCAATCATGTCTGGTCTGTTAGTGGCGGCGATTAAGATGACATCTTTGAAAACAAASACTAATTTGTAATGCCTTTTTTAACTGAATGAAATCCATATCATTTCCTGCTACTGGTTCTCATTTGACTAATCGTTGCTGTTGCTGTCATTCATCTCACTTCTGAAACGTGTTAGCCATCGTTCCCATTCCGGATAGCAACAGCCTCGATCATTGATATGAGGGTTTTTTTTGTTTCATTGTTCTCCTTCTATTTCTTTTTATTCACTTTCCCCTTTTCTTTCACTTGTCGTGCTTTTTTTCTTTCTCTTACTGGCTTTACGTTATATCATTTTCCCTTTCAATTTTTTCTTTCTTCGCTCTCCAGCCTTCTTTTTCCATCCCTCCCATTTTTGCAGACCCGTTTGGTTAGCCTCCTTCGTTTGTTCGCAAAATTTAAAGCGGGTTTCTAAGAAACCTTATTTACCTTTGAGCGTTTCGACRCCGTCGAGTTCAGTCAGAAGTTGTGTCAGTACTCTGTCAGATACGTGAGATCCCTCGTTACCTCGCTGAACAGCAACAGCRTCAATCTCGTCGAAGAAGATAATAGAGGGTGCTGCTGCTCGGGCTTTCCGGAATACCTTGAGAAAAACGAAAATTTCACCAAAAAACACTATAGTTGTTACATTATTACTAAGCTGCAACTCAAACAGTGGAAAGTCCTTTATAAGAAATTCAAGAGTTTTGATAGATTAACATTCAACCTCAGTCAAAATCAAAATAAGTGCAATGTACTCCATTGAAAATAAGAGCAAATTATGTTTTAACAGTATCAGGCTCTCTAAGAGCTCCACTTCCACTGACGTCAATAACATTTGATGAGTATACCTCTCTCACTGCTCGCTCAGATTCGCCAACCCATTTACTGAACAGCTCAGGTCCTTTGATGGCTATAAAATTCAAACCACTTTCAGTGGCCAACGCTCTAGCGATCAATGTCTTGCTACATCCAGGAGGACCGTACATCAAAATGCCCCGAGGAGGCCTGATGCCCATACGCCGAAAGGCCTGCAATGATAAACTTATATATCATTTACGAGGAAAATAAAATAGAAATGCGACCAGGGAAGTGGTTAGTAGTAAAACAAATATTGAATCCTTCTGGTTGTGATGATGAAAACAAGTGATTARGAAAGCTATAAAGATGGTATTTGGTTACTGATACCTCTGGGTGTTTTAGCGGCCATTCAACAGCTTCTTTCAATTTCTGTTTGATAATTTTGTTGCCTCCGACGTCGCTCCATTGAACCTAGTGATGGACAAAATCACATGCAAGAACGTAAAATTCTACTTTTTACACAATTACTAGTTGAATACGGACGATAGGAAGCMTTGGAAATRTCTCACCCCTCCCCCCATTMATGWAAAAGCGATTACAATATGTAASATCCAAATATATTGACWAAARAARAATGAWGTACAAGTACCTTTGGTACGTCTACGGAAACCTCCCTCATGGCGCTGGGTCGAACCTGTCGAAATGCTAACTTCATATCATCGGCAGTCACTTGCAGTTTACTACGAATCTCTTGATCAGCGGATTCATTCTGCTGGATATTATCACCAAGGCAACGTTTAAATGCCAACAGTCCGGCCTCTTTACAAACTGCTGAAAGATCAGCTCCAACGTATCCATGGGATGTTTCAGAAAACCTACGAAGTAATATAATATAATATTATCAATTCTCAATGGTCTTTGGGCTGAGCTTTCTAAAATGTACTAGCCTGCGTAGCCAGGCTTTCCTAGCCAACCGAGGGAGTTTGGGCATGAAAGAACACAAGGTACACAGTGGCTCGACAAAAGACGTACTCAAACAGAAATCCATTGATTGATTGGTTGAATGATTGAATGAGATAGACGGTTCAGTTTGTTTAATGACTAATTAATTGATTGCCTGATTGATCGATCAGTTGAGTGCTGGTCATAATATTTCTACTGACTAACGACCATAGCCCACCCCTACCCGTCCTACCTTGTTATGTCCTCATCACTCATACTGTGGGGAACGTTTCTAAGAACTGTTGTGATGATGTCACGCCTTCCAGCCACATCAGGAATCCCGATTTCGATTTCTCTGTCAAAGCGACCTGGTCTGCGYAGAGCTGGGTCGAGTGCATCTGGACGATTGGTTGCAGCAAGCACCATCACGTGACCCAATGATGTACTCTATAAAAAATATACAAAATTATTCATGTTTGAAAACATATCTTCTTCAAAGCTTGTGAAATTAAAGCCTTTGTCACAAGGTTAACAACATTCTTGCTTTCCATTTGTTCTTAAAAAGTTTTTGTTTTTAATTTTAAATCTGCTTATAAAACTTCCTCTTCTCGCTATGCTTGAAGAGGATGACTGGGCTAGATCCTTCACGAGAATCACTTAACTAAGGAGCGACGTGGCAGTTGCACAAAGAATATACAGTATGACTTAGATCTCACCTTGTCCATACCATCCATTAATGTCAGCAACGTTGCAACAACTCTTTTCTCGAATTCATTCTGCACTTTATCGCGACGTGGACATAGAGCGTCGATCTCATCAATGAATACAATGGATGGAGCTTGCTCTTCTGCTTCGCTAAAGATTTCTCTCAGTCGAGCTTCTGACTCACCGTAGTACCTATCGTAAGAGAAATTGTTAATATCAATAAATTGAGGCTACGAAATGATGACACCACTATCTTCTTCATATTGCCCTCGATTCCTTGCCTTCTCATTATCATGAGGCGAGATATCTGTTGTAAGTTGAGCAAACTTGTTGCGCAAAATAGACTGCGAGCTAACTTTCTTAGCAAATACTGGTCGTTTCCAAGAGGTCCGACCACCCAGTCTGCGGCGACAATATTTGCTGTAAGGTGGGCAAACTTGTTGCGCAAAGTAGACTGAGAATCAACTTTCTTAGTAAACACTGGTCGTTTTCAAGAGGTCCGACCACCCAGTCTGAGGCGACAATATTTGTTGTAAGTTGGGCAAACTTGTTGCGCAAAATCGAGTCAACCTTCTTAGYAAACAGTTCTTAGTAAACACGTTTTCTAGAGGTCCGACCAACAAGTCTCACCTGCTCAATACGTCAGGCCCATTGATACATATAAAGTGTACTCCAGTTTCGTTAGCAACAGCACGTGCTATCATCGTTTTTCCTGTCCCTGATGGACCATATAGAAGAACTCCACGTGTTGGTGGCACACCTTGTTCATGAAAAAAACACACTTCATTAGGTTGCAAAACCGATTCTATTTTGCTTTGCAGCTGATATTGCTGATATTGCACTTCAAAGTATCGTGCATACATACCATAAAGGGAAAACATTTCAGGATGTTTCAAAGGCAGTTCGACCATTTCTCGTACGGCRTTTATCTGTGTTGCCAGGCCACCAATTGAACAAAAAGTGACTTTTCGTTCCGTTGAATCTTCAGATGTGGTTTTTGTCCCACATGGCAGAATGCTCAAAGAMGTTTCATCACAAGATATGTAATAAAATAATAAGTCATTCTCTTGAAAACCCGCACCAGTTTTCTCATTATTATCATGTGAATAGTCAACTTTAGAAAAAGCAAGTTTGTTTTCTTGGTCATTCTTATCAAATCTCATAGCATCTCTTGAACAGTTATTTGATAGAGACAGAGATTCAAACTCTCCATGTAAGGAAGAAATAGTTGTTTCATCCTGTTGATAAGCGCCTCTTAAGAGTTCAGTTTTGCACCTTCTATCTTGTAATTCATGTGATGAAGGTTTATGACCTAAAATGTCCTTTACACGGAGATCCAAAGTTTGACCATAGTAGGTAAYCTTTATAACATCCCCAGTGAACACAACTTGACTATCTGTGAAGAAGTAAAAGTTGTTTTGTTTGTTTTTGGATTTGTTGTTGTTGTTTTTTTGTTGCTATTATTGTTCTGGTTAGTTTTGGTTTCTGGCTTTTTTTTTGCTTTATTTTATTTTTATTATTTTTTGTTTTTTTGTTGTTGTTTTGCATGTGTTGTTTTAGGGGGGGGGGGGGGGGGGGGGGGGGGTTAGTATTTTTGTATTCTGGTTTTTGGCTTTGTTTTTTTTTGTTTTTTTTTACCTAACTCTTGCAAACAGTAGTTCACAAAACTTTTGTTGATTTCGAATTCTGCATTTTTACTGTAAGAATAAAAAGGAGGCTTTTGAGTACAATTGATTGCAAATACAGCAACCAAACARTACATACAAAATACATAATATAGCAATATATTCTAATATATYATTATTTTACTAATCCAGTATTGGCACCTAGTATCTATATGTACGCCTATTTGAGTCAACATTGATAAATTTATGAATGAGYCCTAAAAACCCTTCCCTGCTTACCATAGTTGTAATTGAACTTTTGAAGCATGCAAGCTGATATTTGACAGCTTACTGACTTCTAAACTACCACCAGACTCTACCTAGAAAAAAAGAAACTTGGCTCATTGAGTTATTATTGGGTACATTGTACATTATAACCTCTACTTTAATACAACCATCTTTTCTTACACTTTCCACCATTAATCCACCCATTTATTCATATCTCACCAGTCCATCAATATCATTAAATTCAACACTTCACTTATCCAGCAATATATAGATTAACCTATAGTTACTCATCTGTTTCAATAACAGTAAATTACCTTGCAATTTTCAAGACAGSTTGTTGAAATTGCCACACCTTAAAAAGCAAAACATTAAAGTTTACTGTTTAGAATGCTTTAAAGTGATTTGAAATACACATGTTCCTTAGAAGGCATTGTTCTTTTTTGTATAATATGGTTTATACATTAAGTACGTGTTTACTTGTATGCACTTACACTCAGGAGAGAGAGAATGTGATGGCCAAGCAATACAAACTGCCTAAATGAAATTCAATCTCAGTTAATATTTCTGTTAATATGCACTTTGTGATATTATCAATCATTCCATTTTGCAATCACAATGTCAATATATCTGGTTCACAACCAGTTCAAACGGCARCACATTGAAAGATGAGCCAGGTTCATACTTACAGTAAAAATTAGGAGCAAAAACACTACTTCACACGTTTTACAGTGCGGTTATCAAAACCCGGGCMACCTAGAGATTATTAAATCCCAAAATTTACATAGAATACAAAGGATTCAAAATAAGGAAACCTCATCTCATTGAGCTTTAATTCTTTGCAACATCATTGATCATCGTTTCTTAGCTTTTTTAAGCCTTGTTTTCAATTGAAATYATGATTATTTTACATTTTCTAGGTGGCCACAGTTTCCGTATCCACAATGTAAAAGCACAATCAGAAACAGAAAATGGACAATGCTTTCACTTTCTTATGTTTCTTCTTCTACTTATGTTTCCCCGGATTCACACAATCAAAACCCCTTCATCTGAATATGRCTATAGTTTGAACAGCTCCTGAGAACTTACTGGTCTTGAACATGACTTTAGAAGTACTTTAGTACCAATTGCGATTCTCAGTACTTTCATAGTATTCATATTTATCAACACAACATCTTGTCTTGACGGCAATGGAAATTTGCTGTCTGCAATGAAAAAAGTACTTTAATTGATAATGTATAAACGTAATTACAAAGTGTAAAAATGCCTCTGAAAATATCAYATGAAGCTGCTTGTGGATCATGCAGTCACAAGGGGCCATTCCATTTTATATCCACAACCCCTGGTCAAAGACTTTTTCTGGGGGGTTCTTAAAATCCAATTTCTGGGGGGGGGGGGGTGAACGTGCCGGTGCCTTTGATCTTTCTAGGGGGTGTTGTAACATGGCCTCTTCTATAGGACTATACACTGTAGGGGTGGTGTGGATATTAAATGGAATGGCCCAAGGGGAGTCATTGCAGGCTGTAAAGGCCTGTAAATGTTGCTTGTAGGATTGCTCAATTGCATGGATCAATGCCTCGGGTAAACTGCCCGCCCTACACTCCCTGGCATGTATACGAACGATGAGTTTTTCTACTGAAAAGGGGTCGGAATGACAGTGCAGTGCTGGGAGGCACATTCAAGGAAATGAAAAATGTCACACATTACAGGAGACATAGCTTGCTCAGCGCTCTCACTCATTAAATATTCTTACTATTATAAAACGTATAAAGAGTGGATTAATACACAAGCTTACCTCCCATCATTTTYCCTCCGTTGTCAATTTTTTGTGCGCGACCATGTAAGACGCCATCTTGGATATAACAACATTCTTGCGAATTTTCTACAACTTTGCCCTCACATAATGCTTTRTGGTCGTCCAAATGTCTAATATATATTAAGCTATCGCATATCTCACATTTTTGCCAAAAATCCTGTTTCTTTTTACTCATTTTTAAATATTTTTGATAGCTCTTTTTCTGCACGTGTCCATAGTTATTCTTGTGGTGCTAACCGCTGAGAGAATAATGCAGGCGCTTATCAATACTCCAAGATGGCTTCCAGCGCTACAAGCCGGCTGGCCTTTTAGACATCATCAGGAGGACAGGACTTGTTCACTGTAGTTTGCTTTGTTGTATTGGTAAATTGTGCATAAAGGAGGTAAGAAATTTTGAACCTTTATAATTTWTGGAGATATTCAGGAGATATCGCTGTGCGGTGTGCAAATAAAGTTGAGTTATCGTTTGTTCCGAAGGCCAAATCGAGACGAAACTATTTGTTTTTCTCGAGTACTCTGTTGTGTTTAATACATAGAGCTATATTTTACTTGTGCAAACGTCTCTGACCTCTCTACATTGTGTGATTATTGAAGCAAATRATCACAATGAACATCCTTTCAAATGAGCAGAACKTAACAGCGCACAYAAGTCACGTGACTCTATAGTCTAAAATAGTAWGTGAAGCAGCATGAGCYAGCAAATMAATGTCRTTTTTSTACAATTAACAGAATTTTCTCTATATTTTATTCTTACTCAGAGACTTATATTCCTAATGTGGAATATGGGGGGTTGGGGTGAATGGCCCCCCTACTTGGGTGGGGGTCATCATTGAAGAAAAGGCCAACAAATGCACATCAGCAACTTTTCAAATGCATGCTGATGCTCTTAACAGCAGGAGAACTACAAAATTGCAGCTGTCAAGCCACCAACAACTCGTCACACATACTGCATAATCATTATGTCATAGTTATCATCATAATCATAAACATTGAAAAAAAAGGAAACGTTTCCATACTATTTTCCTTGCAAATGATTGTGACTATGACTCAAGATAGAGCAGTTTTTTCCCAAGAGACAAAGCTTTTAAACACCTGTGTTTTTATAGGAGTAACAGTGCATGCTTGTCAATATTTTCAATTTCAGTAACAAATCATGTCTAAAGTTTATAAATTCTTCAATTGCCGTGTGATGCGGAATGGTGCTTTGGTCAAGGATGATCTTTGGGTCAGAGATGGTAAAATAGTTGATCCAAGGGAAGTATTTTGGTTTGAGAAGACAGAGCCTGATGTACTTTTGGACTGTACTGGRATGATAATAGCACCTGGATTTATAGATGTTCAACTTAATGGTAATAGTTTAATAACAAGAAAGGAAAAATAGCCTATATTATGCAGGTCATAAGSCAGATATTGAATATATTTGCAGGTGGTTTTGGAGTAGATTTCTCAACACCTTCAGATGACATACATAGTGGTTTGATGAAGGTTGCAAAGGGTGTATTAAAACATGGATGTACGTCATTCTGTCCTACAATTATCACCTCTGAAACAGAAATGTATCAAAAGGTAAACAGTGTAGTATGAAGAATTCTTAATTACATATAAGGTTTGTAGCGGGGTGAAAGAATTTTATTCATTGATTTGATCTACTACTGTTTAGAATGGCACTACATTTTCTTCTTGATGAAATACAAAGGAGACAAATTGCAATATCAATAATAGCAGACATTCTGACTTTTCTTTGAATTAATACATTGTTTAAATTTAATTTGTTTAAAAAAGTAATGTAGTTAGAGTGTGAAATACACTTACTACCTTACTCCACTGATTATTGGTCATGGTTTCTTTGTTTTTTTTTTTCTTCAGTGAATCACACTTTATTACAATGATTTGACAATTACACTTCTTTTCACGGGTCAATGAAAACTTAATTGAGTCTGGTGTCCCTTTATGATTTCTTCTCTCCCGAAGTTATTTTATAACCATTTTAACTATATTCAATAATAATTGTTCTCTCAAGATTGTACCAAAAATCAAAAGGACTCCTGGAGGGGAACATGGAGCAAGCATTCTTGGTAAGTCTTAGGCACCACCTGCCTGACATTAATTATTCTAATCCTATCGTACTGTTGTAGTGATTGTTCAATAGACTGATTGTTGATTTCTGAATGCCTGGCTGACTAAATTGATTCAATTTTGGGTTACTGTTATTGACTGATGAATTGATTTACTGATTGCTTGATTAATTGAGCAATGGATGGATGGACAGCCTATTGACCTAAGAGCACAATATTTATTGTATCCATCAGTGTTTTTGTGTCCAATTTGTCCTGTATCCTGATTGATCAAGACAGCAAAGTGTCTAGTTTACCGTTTGACTTGCATAAAGACTGCGAAGTCTCTGGTTTACTGTAGGCCGCTGGCAATAACTTAGATGACAATAATAGTTGATACCAATAGAAATAATGTCTGGTAGCCTKAATATCTAAAATAGAAATAATGCAGTATTATACATGGGTGCATTGTTTGTCTACTGGTAATTTTTCAAATGATGAAATGATAATCATTGAGTGACTGCTTAATTGATTTGTGAATTGACTGTATGATTGACAGATATACATTTGTTATAACCAACTGCAGGTCTTCACCTAGAGGGCCCATTCATCAATCCATTRAAGAAAGGCGCCCACAAGGAAGCACTGATCAAAAATCTGGAAAACTTCACRATCAAAGACATTGAACAGTTTTATGGGTCYCTTAATGATGTTAGTATCATCACTCTTGCACCAGAAAAGGCAGGAGATATGAAGATTATACGAAAAATTGTTAAAAGAAAGGTGGTGGTATCAGTAGGTATGAATATCGACTGGGAGATAACTCTGGTTGTTGATTTTAGCTTCCAGATTGCTCATTCAGGCATACACTTTCTCTGAAACTATGCAAACAAGGACACTTGGGCAAACCTGGCCAATCAGATAATAGAAAATCCAGTCTAACTGTTAACACTGCCACCTGTCATCAGATTATAGTATTCCAAAACTGATGTTTTATCAATTTGAAATGTGATCCTCTTATCAAAAAAYGAYTTGAGCAGTTAAATTCATGTGAGGYTGCAATRTRGTTGGTTTCAGTAATAGTCTATTTCACAGTTATCTGCGCCATCTTGAAAGGTAGCTGTGCCTTTGCATTAATCAAGACGATAGTTGAACGTGCATGATAGAAACCTTCATTCACACCTACAGACAATTACTCACAGGTTTCTATTATTGCACGCTCAACGGTTGTCTCGCTTACAAATGTAGATTTAAAAGCCCACRGCTACCTTTCAAGATGGCGCTGTTAACCGTGAAGGAGACTTTTGGTAGTTGTCTGGTTGATTGCATGTTTGTGTAGTTTTGACTGTGTTTGCCTGTTGTTGATCAGTAAAAATGCAATGCATCCACTTTCATTTCAGGGCATACAACAGCAGACATTGCACAAGGAGAACAAGCTGCCAGAAATGGAGCAACCTTTATTACACATCTTTTCAATGCTATGCTTCCGGTATTGTTAAAATTTGATTTCTTTGTATTATATGTCTTTCATTTACTGTTGATCTTGTCTAATGATTCATCATTGAGTGGTTGATTGACAGATTGATTGATTGACAAATTGATTCATTCACTCCTTGATTTCTGTTGGTCACAGTTTCACCATCGAGACCCAGGTGTTGTAGGTCTTCTAACAAGTGATGACATCCCTACACCAATATTCTATGGATTGATAGCAGATGGTATTCATACTCATCCCTCAGCTACCAGGATTGCTTATCGATCACACCCTGAGGGTAATCAACTTTATACAACTTTTCTGTAAAATCAGACGTTTTGATTGGTTGGCTTTCGTGTGTTATCAAAGTATAGATACACGGATTACGTCAAAACTAATTGTTTGTTGTATAAAACAGATAGATNAATTTTATTCATTGATTTGATCTACTACTGTTTAGAATGGCACTACATTTTCTTCTTGATGAAATACAAAGGAGACAAATTGCAATATCAATAATAGCAGACATTCTGACTTTTCTTTGAATTAATACATTGTTTAAATTTAATTTGTTTAAAAAAGTAATGTAGTTAGAGTGTGAAATACACTTACTACCTTACTCCACTGATTATTGGTCATGGTTTCTTTGTTTTTTTTTTTCTTCAGTGAATCACACTTTATCATAACTTGTTTGAAAATTAAGTTTACACTTTCACAAGTTAATGAAAGCTAAAGTTGAGAGTACTCTGATGCCTGTATGATTTCTTCACTCCCAACTGTCTTTCAAAACATGTTATCTATATTCAATATTGTTCTCTCAAGATTGTACCAAAAATCAAAAGGACTCCTGGAGGGGAACATGGAGCAAGCATTCTTGGTAAGTCTTAGGCACCACCTGCCTGACATTAATTATTCTAATCCTATCGTACTGTTGTAGTGATTGTTCAATAGACTGATTGTTGATTTCTGAATGCCTGGCTGACTAAATTGATTCAATTTTGGGTTACTGTTATTGACTGATGAATTGATTTACTGATTGCTTGATTAATTGAGCAATGGATGGATGGACAGCCTATTGACCTAAGAGCACAATATTTATTGTATCCATCAGTGTTTTTGTGTCCAATTTGTCCTGTATCCTGATTGATCAAGACAGCAAAGTGTCTAGTTTACCGTTTGACTTGCATAAAGACTGCGAAGTCTCTGGTTTACTGTAGGCCGCTGGCAATAACTTAGATGACAATAATAGTTGATACCAATAGAAATAATGTCTGGTAGCCTGAATATCTAAAATAGAAATAATGCAGTATTATACATGGGTGCATTGTTTGTCTACTGGTAATTTTTCAAATGATGAAATGATAATCATTGAGTGACTGCTTAATTGATTTGTGAATTGACTGTATGATTGACAGATATACATTTGTTATAACCAACTGCAGGTCTTCACCTAGAGGGCCCATTCATCAATCCATTRAAGAAAGGCGCCCACAAGGAAGCACTGATCAAAAATCTGGAAAACTTCACRATCAAAGACATTGAACAGTTTTATGGGTCYCTTAATGATGTTAGTATCATCACTCTTGCACCAGAAAAGGCAGGAGATATGAAGATTATACGAAAAATTGTTAAAAGAAAGGTGGTGGTATCAGTAGGTATGAATATCGACTGGGAGATAACTCTGGTTGTTGATTTTAGCTTCCAGATTGCTCATTCAGGCATACACTTTCTCTGAAACTATGCAAACAAGGACACTTGGGCAAACCTGGCCAATCAGATAATAGAAAATCCAGTCTAACTGTTAACACTGCCACCTGTCATCAGATTATAGTATTCCAAAACTGATGTTTTATCAATTTGAAATGTGATCCTCTTATCAAAAAAYGAYTTGAGCAGTTAAATTCATGTGAGGYTGCAATRTRGTTGGTTTCAGTAATAGTCTATTTCACAGTTATCTGCGCCATCTTGAAAGGTAGCTGTGCCTTTGCATTAATCAAGACGATAGTTGAACGTGCATGATAGAAACCTTCATTCACACCTACAGACAATTACTCACAGGTTTCTATTATTGCACGCTCAACGGTTGTCTCGCTTACAAATGTAGATTTAAAAGCCCACRGCTACCTTTCAAGATGGCGCTGTTAACCGTGAAGGAGACTTTTGGTAGTTGTCTGGTTGATTGCATGTTTGTGTAGTTTTGACTGTGTTTGCCTGTTGTTGATCAGTAAAAATGCAATGCATCCACTTTCATTTCAGGGCATACAACAGCAGACATTGCACAAGGAGAACAAGCTGCCAGAAATGGAGCAACCTTTATTACACATCTTTTCAATGCTATGCTTCCGGTATTGTTAAAATTTGATTTCTTTGTATTATATGTCTTTCATTTACTGTTGATCTTGTCTAATGATTCATCATTGAGTGGTTGATTGACAGATTGATTGATTGACAAATTGATTCATTCACTCCTTGATTTCTGTTGGTCACAGTTTCACCATCGAGATCCTGGTGTTGTAGGTCTTCTAACAAGTGATGACATCCCTACACCAATATTCTATGGATTGATAGCAGATGGTATTCATACTCATCCCTCAGCTACCAGGATTGCTTATCGATCACACCCTCAGGGTAATCAACTATACCCCATGATATACAGTACATCACACCCTCAGGGTAATCAACTATACCCCATGATACACAGTACATCACACCCTCAGGGTAATCAACTATACCCCATAATATACAGTACATCGCCTTTAGTCTCAGATCTATGACAAGCTGCACCAATTACCCGTCTCTTACAACAAATCAATTGTTGTTGTTGTTGTTAGTCATAGAACTATTGCTTGCATAGGCTACGTCCCCTTATGCAGAAAATGTAGATCGGTATTTAACTGTAAAATTCGCAACCCAACATTTTGGCGGGAAATATTCCCACAGGGAGCCCAATTCTAGTTTTAGCTCATATGAAAGCGTACTCAATTAAACTAGTCGATTGATTTCAATAGGTTTAGTGCTTGTAACTGATGCAATTATAGCCCTTGGTTTAAAGCCAGGAATCCATCAATTTGGTCCTGTAACAATTGAAAAGAAAGGCGAAGAAAAGGCGACAATAGCAGGAACAGAGACACTAGCTGGAAGGTACACCATAAATCTAGATCGAGTTAACTGTTNTTCACTCCTTGATTTCTGTTGGTCACAGTTTCACCATCGAGATCCTGGTGTTGTAGGTCTTCTAACAAGTGATGACATCCCTACACCAATATTCTATGGATTGATAGCAGATGGTATTCATACTCATCCCTCAGCTACCAGGATTGCTTATCGATCACACCCTCAGGGTAATCAACTATACCCCATGATATACAGTACATCACACCCTCAGGGTAATCAACTATACCCCATGATACACAGTACATCACACCCTCAGGGTAATCAACTATACCCCATAATATACAGTACATCGCCTTTAGTCTCAGATCTATGACAAGCTGCACCAATTACCCGTCTCTTACAACAAATCAATTGTTGTTGTTGTTGTTAGTCATAGAACTATTGCTTGCATAGGCTACGTCCCCTTATGCAGAAAATGTAGATCGGTATTTAACTGTAAAATTCGCAACCCAACATTTTGGCGGGAAATATTCCCACAGGGAGCCCAATTCTAGTTTTAGCTCATATGAAAGCGTACTCAATTAAACTAGTCGATTGATTTCAATAGGTTTAGTGCTTGTAACTGATGCAATTATAGCCCTTGGTTTAAAGCCAGGAATCCATCAATTTGGACCTGTAACAATTGAAAAGAAAGGCGAAGAAAAGGCGACAATAGCAGGAACAGAGACACTAGCTGGAAGGTACACCATAAATCTAGATCGAGTTAACTGTTAACCGTTAACCAACAAAGCAAACTCTCAGATGTGTACAAGAACACAAGAGAAAGACACAAATCCAATGTTGCTTCATGCGTTAATCATTAGATTGTGTTTGTTTTTTGTTTTGTTCTTGTTTTTGTTTTGCACAACATCAACTAGAACTTGGCCTATCTGAGGTAGTACATGTATAACTAATGTCGGTTATGTTGGTATGTTAAKTATTACGTGAAAGCAGCAATCCATCACGCCCTACCATGTGACATATGACCGCTATCACTTGACGGCCGGTAGACCTAAAACTAATCATGATGATAACGATGTCATTCATTGATTATTGCTTATAATTATGGTTAATTCTGCTCATCAGCGTCGCTTCAATGGACTTTTGTGTCAGGAAATTCAAGGAAATGTCAGGTAAACTGATGTTGCAGATAAGAATCATTGTAACTGAATGTCCCAAGTAAAACGTTCAAATGCGCTGCGGTCGAAGAGGTTCATGGGAAGAGACGTCATGCTGTAAAAATTACACTGAATTGAGTGCAATTTGAGAAATAACACTTTTTTGTTCAATCAAATTCCACTACTTAATCAATAGTGACAGATAAATTTGAAGCATTGACCTTGCCATTGCAATGTTCCAATTTTCACGTGGTCTTGTTATATGTTCAGTGTTAAGCCATTTCTCCACTAAAACAYACCTGGCATTTGAGACCATTTTACCCAAATGGAAAGTGAATATTTTCATAAGTAATGTGGCAATTGGAAAATTCGGAAGTGACTTCTTACGTAGACAACGCTTTAAGATCGGCTGTATGAGGTCAACTGATTTTAGTGTAGGTAGAAGCAGGTGTAGCGGAAGATCTTTCTCTTATAGTTTTCTGGTTTATTTTTAGGCTGTAGTGTTGTTGAAGCTCTTGAATGTGCTACACTACATCCTGCTCAACTTCTAAACATCCAGCACCAAAAAGGAACGACTAATTTTGGAGCTGATGCCGACTTAATTCTCCTCGATGACAATTTGAACGTCCAGGCAACATTGATCGCTGGTATTCCTGTKTGGATCAAGAAAGGAGGTTTTGCTTGTCGTTTGCTGAAGTCGAAGTTCGGTCTTACAAATGATATTTATGGCTAATACTTTAGGGATGCGGAAACTGAGATTTCTCTCAGAGGAAAGCTGCACAAATGTGCGGTTAATAACTAAATTGGGATATACAGTGAAAATTTTTCTTATAAAAGCCTCTGTATTACGGACAACTCTCATAGTATATTACGGACTACCTTGATTTTAAAATATATAACAGACATCTCGATATATTACGCCTGGAACAACTTTATTTTACGGACACCTCGATATTACGAACATCGATCTCTATTTTACGGACGCCTAAATATTACAAACACCTATATGTAAAGTTACGAGCTGGCACTTGTGGTCATTAGACCTCGATATACGAACGGTTATATATTATGAACACCTCGACATTACGGACACCTCTATATTACGGACACCAGTAGACTCCATCTTTATGCGGCCTCGTGGGTGTTCGTAATTCAAAATATTTACTGTATTCAATTTTATGATAGTGTTTCAAAAGTTGATAATCTAAAATTTCCCTAATTATGAATTTACTAACAGAGAATTCCTAAAGAAAAATCTAAACAAATAACTGCAGAGATGAATACAATCTTTGATATTAAAAATTAAATTAATATTTGTAATTTAAAGCATTTTTTCTTACAAAAAGTAATCTTTTGTTAAATATTTGATAGATGTTTTTCTTTTCTTTAAAAGCTTGTTTTTAAATTTTGGTTTTCTTTGATGTTTTGTGTAGTTGGTTTGAAAAAAATATTTATTGAATAAATGTATTTTGCTTTGTATAAAATGTGTGTTGCGAGTTTTGAATTGAACCCTAACAAAGTGTTTACTCTTTCAACATAATTACAGCATAAATGGYAGTTTTAATTCTACAGTGCTTACTCTAAGCACTAAAACTGTGGTCCTTAGATATAAGTTTAGATTAGGAATAATAATATACGACAGTTTGTCTACCGTACTTGGCCGTTTGGGCGTTGAATATTATCATTTGTACACCACCAGAACACGAAAATAATCGTTTGTGGCAACGGCTGCGCGGGAACTCCTCACGGTGAGCTTGATGTGGTTTTCCTGCAGTTTTGWTGCTTTTTATGACATATTTATGTCATTTTAATCGTTTTTTTCACTTCTCATCTCCAGAAATCCTTAGGGAAGACCAACGCATTGAGGTAAGTYAAATAGTTATTATTTAGATAGCAATTTTCCTGAATGTTCCTGAGCTGATGTTGGTCATTGACCATATGATATTTCTCATACTTTGGTTCTTCACTCGGACGCGAAGTATYYTCCGGAGAACTSCTTAATCGCCWGTCATTTCAYGATACTAGGAAACACAAAATATGYATTGTAATACTAGAAAGATTATAAACTATGACTTTCTGATTTTGGAGCAATGTTTCGTCTGACGCTTCTGTGTAAMTCRTTCAAAATCAGTGCTAAAGTCGYGAAGAAACRTCAATAAAACAGTGTAATTATCGCTAAATGAAAGCACAATTTGATTAATTCATTAATCAAAAACTGATAAATCAATTAAAACATATAGAAATAATTCCTCTTGTATTGCAAATTGATACTGGAAAATGTTGTTTTTGATACAATWTTTTTATACAGTTACACAAAAGCGACCTTTTGTCGCCAGAAAAGAGAGGATTTCTCATCAAGTCAAAGACGATGGGATACCGTAACATCCTTAATGTATTTCTATAAGGAAGTGTCTAAAACACAAATCCTTCTTGAATGTACCAGTACTGATTGGTTATGTAAACAGACAGGAGCTTTAAAATAATTACCTAAATACTATAATCCTCTCATTGCGCCGTCGTACTATTAACAACACTAAACAAACTTAATGGCTGATGGKTTCKMCACATGCATATGGTATCTGTATTCTGAAAAAAAAAGGAAATTGTTTTCAATTGTAAGCATTTAAACACTGCAATTTTTTTGTATGAAACGCAAGGAAGCTTACTCTCTCTTTTTCGTACTTGGTTCCTTAGTGACTGAATTGTTACATCATTGCGTGTTTTCGTGTTGAAACAGCTATCAGTCCTTCATCGCCATTCAATGTATCTCTAAGCACACGGGACGTCACGTGTGAGAAGTCCGTCACGAACAACTTACTTTTAACCCTAAAGTTACCAAAATATTTTCATCAGAATAATAACTAAGAAATTACGTCGATTGGTTATTTTTGTTCATCTTTGTAATTTGTGTCTTCAGAATTTGTTCAGTGTCGACCTAACGACTGTTCGTCACACCGCATTTTAACCGAGTAGTTAATGTTCGTACTTTTACCACTCGAACTCAAGAGCTCTGCAAGAAGGTGTTCTTCTTGTGTTGTTTATTTATCAGGACGTGGCTTGTCTTATCCAGAGATTATGGCGTCCGTTTTCTAGTGTATTTACTTCCTCTATTGCAAGATGTATACCGTGATGCTTTGCCACTTTGAAGATCGCGCGAAATGTACAACTTCCGCAGTGGAGAGAATCTACTATAGTTTATTATTTCACGTTTCACGCACACAGRAAAATATCTCGTACATAACCAATTTGTTTATTGTTTATCTATTTTTTCGACTTTCACAAATTCCCCGCGACTACAGTTGACTTCCGTGTTCTTTTGCGCGCGGCCGCGTTGCCACGAACTAATGTGACTCATTACAAAAAAACAATATTTTCAGTGCTCCTGAGATATTAATTCTAAATGGTGGAAACTAGCGGTAAACTAGTGTGAACTGCGTCGGTGTTTCTAAAGAAACAGTTGTGTAAAAAAGATAAATATTACACAGTAAAAAAGTAGGTGAAATAACTTTCTGACGTTTCGTGGACGTTAATCCGTCGGAGTAAAGACATATTAATTCTAYATTGTTTTTTACTTGATTGCCATTCGCGTGTACCATTCCAGCTGTTATAAGAGTCCTAACCAAAATACAAAGTGCTTTATAACTATTTTTGGTAATTGAAGAAATTGTCACACGCACCCCGCTATCATTACACATTCCCAGCGTTCATCTGCTATTGGCCACTAATAACCATGTCATTTATCAATGATCGACAATATGTTGATGAGTTACACGGCTATTTTGCGTAATTTGTAATGTAGCAAWCGCCATCTCTCTTGAGATATGTTGATTTTTGAATGATAACCTTGGAACTSAAAGAGGTCCTGTTGATTTATGAGCGAATTTTGGCAAGTATAGAAGACCGTTTGCCTTTAGCAATCATARCTATAATCATTAGCCTCTGGAAATTGTGCTTTAAKCGGTASATCTTTTCTATCTTTGAAATTCTTGCTTTTTAAGTTAAGGTGTTTTGAAAATTCTGAAATTTTTGATCATATAAGTGATGCACACTTTTATAAAATATATAACATAAGGAATCATATTTCTTATTTTTATTTTTTCGATTTTGCAGTGTAATTATTAAGATGAATTTATGCAAAGAAACGATCTTGGTGAAATCCAGCTGGTAAAGAGGCCGCAGCATCGTCAGGTCAGTGAGAAATATTTAAATTCATATTTTTCTTTAAAAGAAAAATAGAAATAGATAAAAGAAATAGATTTTAGAATCAATACAAACCGTTACAATARCAKTCGCTAAAAGAATTGTTTCTGTTTTTGTCTGCAGCGAATTTAACTCGATATCACAGAAATAGTAGATATTCTTGGTCTTGTTCGAAGTCCACCGAATAAAAAGAAGGTTTTCCAATAAGACAATGGTACTTTTTTCTTGTCAATTTTGGACCGAAATCACCTGGTATACAACAATCCTTAAATTATGTATTAAACTAAAACCCTTGTTTCTTTGTAACTTGTTTTCAGTAATYCGTTTCTCGGAAATAATATCTGTACATTGTTTTTACTGTGAAGTAATTTTCTCACAATTAACTACTGGCTGCAAGAGAAAAAATTTGTATTTTCTTTAGTATTTTCTTATTCTTTAAAACGTACATTTAAACATACAGTGTTTAAGAATGGGTTCTATTTCTTTCTTTTGACATTGCTTTATTCTAAATCAATATTATTTTTTTGTGTATACACTGTTATGTGTAAATTTAGGTTACGTGTTTATTATTTTGTTGTCAAAATGATTTTCCTGTTGTACTTTTTCGATTTATCACTAGGGGTGTGTCTTGTTGTTATGCTGTAAAAATCGCTCTTCAAATAATTGCCAAATGTGTTATTGTTATGCATGTTTAGTCTAGACGTTACGATTCAAAAGGATGAAATGTTTCGTGAATCTAAAAAAAAAAAAAAACGACTGAAAGCAAAAACAAAAAATGTGGTATACCAGAAAATACACGTAAAGGTTATTTTTGTCTACGTAGTGTTAAAGTAGACATTCTTCTTAGTTAATCCTAATAATTAAAATTAATACTCTGTAGAAAGAAAATCCACAGCGTACAAGGGTGCTCTGCTAAGGTTATTACTAATTTTTACTCAGTTGCTTGTCGATCTCATTTGTGATGACGTAACGATCAATCAGCCGATCTATTTTTGTTGTACCAGTCTTCGTTATAGGTTCATGCAGCATTTGTAGATAGATAGTTAGATAGATAAAATAAAAAATCAGACTTGTTGATCCTATCATCTCAGACACTAAGCGCACAAGACGTCTCTCGCTAAAAGGTTCTTGTCGATCCCTGCTGTGCCTTGCTGTGCGCKTTGACAGTCATCCGGCTTTTTTTTGTAGAATTTCTTGCGAAGTGTAGACATGTCGAATTTTGTTTTTGAAAGCTGAAACATCCGAAATCCCTGGGGCGGATGATCTAGTCGAGGTACACGAGGTACACTAGGTGCACGTAGAATCCATTTGGTCCAAAAGAACATTTTTTTATGAAACAGATTTTACAATCCATCTTAATATTAAAAATTCAAGAAAAGAAAGAGGGCCCATTCAGTTTATAGACCACAGTCTAAACCCTCGCATAAAGGCATATATTCCTTATACAGCGCTTGGGCTTCCTGTGCGTTTCCATCTGACGTGGTGAGCCCACTCAACCAAAAGCCGAGATCCGCCCCTGAATCCTGCCCTAAATCCACATGAATCCTATGGCTTTATTTGTGGCTAGTTTGACGTTTGCTTTGACAATTATAAGTGGCAAACTTAAAACTGGTAGGTGAGTGGCTGGAATATCAATCAATCGGACTTTCCACAATCAATCTATGAAAAACGTAACTACTGCAATATTTGAAAATTAATGATTTCAAAACCAACTGTTAGCATCGTCGAAATGCCCCATTTTTATCTGCTATTTCTTCCAAAAGAACAGAAATATTRAAGCGCATCAAAACGATTTTCTGTTGATGCAAAATAGCTCATGATTGGTTCAAAATCAAAGATGAASAATCGTGCAAAGTGTCTCGGATATTCATTTAATTTAAAGCAAAGATATTATCTTCAAAACACTGAAAGATCTTAAAATAGAACGTTATCATGATACTGGGTTTTTGGTGCGCAATATGGAGTAGTACTGGAATGAGTTGGCGGAGACCAATGATCTCACTCATGACGTCATTAGACATTTTCGAAACATAGGAACAACTAACATTTTGATAAAAATACTGTCACTTACGACGACGTTTGATTTGGTCTTCTTTCACTTTATCTGCTACTAAAAAACGTTTTAAGTTTTTAAAATCCACCTCTTTGATCTTGTTGGCAAAAAACACTCTTAAATTGTCTCCGGAAAAGTCAGGTAAATCGTAGTGTAATACACATTGTTATATTATGTTTTAAGTATTTATTTTTATGTTCACTGTCTACAAAGACGTTTTTTATATCTAAACAATGTCCATTTCCTTTTTCGCTTTACTTTACGAGCTTCGGTAGAAAAAATAAGCTAAAAAGACCACCTTCCCCTCAGGGCCTTCCTCTATGGTCATTCTGGGTTTTTACAGTCGCTGAAAGCAGCGAGTATAAAATACAAAGCAAAATTATCGTGTGTTAATAAACCGGGTTAAATGTAGTTTCAAGTATTTGATTCTTAAAATGTGAATAAGATCTTTTCCATAGTGTTTTTTTAGTGAATTTTGAGTACGTGCGCGAATATAGCAATACTTCGCAGTAAACAGTCATTATATTTTTAGGATTTAGAAATTGTAAATAATATAAGTAAGAGGRAAATCCGATGTCTTGAGTGTTATCTGGGTTTAGTGTTAAAACATCACTGGCAAACACGTAAAAAAAGCTGAGTACATTTAATAGACTACAGCATCTCTAATAACACCTTAGTTTAATATAACCTCTTCTATGATTGGATCAATACATCATTGAATTTGATTGGTCAAATCCACTAGTAACATAATATAGTAATATAGGAGTACAAGTTATATTGAAGTGTCCACGTCGATTTTAACTATCAATATCACTCTTTAAGTGAGCAGAAATATTCTAGTAGTCACGTTTCGCCTTGATCGACAATATCTTAAGAGGAATTGCGTAGATTTGTACAGCGCAGAGTGCAATATCCTTTGCTACACTTAAGTGATTTATCACACGCGTTATATCTGCTTGCTTTCTGCTGAACTCGGTATCAACGTTTAAAATTTCRAATTTTTATATTATTTGTTTTGTTGTCCATTATTTTCACATAATTGATATATCTTGATTTTAATTTTTCGAGGTTTTCTTGATTATTTTCTCTCTCATTCAAATTCGATGTTTATTCTTGTGTGATTTCTCACGGAATGCTATGCAAAAACGTTGTTTTTCTCATTTTACATTTTTCGTCTTATCTTTTAATTTCTAAATTTCTTTTATTTTTTCGTTTTTCCTATGTAATTTCCCTTTTCTATTTTCATGCTGAGATATTCATGAAAATAAACACAAACTAAAAGTGTTTTTACACGATAACAACTTAATATTTGTTGCCTGCAAACAGAGAGGGTTGGGATAAGAAGGGTCCTTAACCAATGGATATTCCTGCGTCCATTTATGTTCCCATATCTTAAAATGTTTTSATTTTAAGGCTAGCGTGGCATCAGATTGAATGGAAAACATTTTATTGCGGTGAAAATCAATCGATTATGAGTTRGGCTTCTTTCRCTTAATTTCCTGATCTTTTGACGAAGCCTTTCGTCTTTTTCTYWTAATCCTTGTAATCCAACTAAAATTGGGTATATTACCCTATCACAAACCACCATTAAARGAGCAACACTTTAAGAAACAATATGATAGGTCGTTAAACTAGTCTGTTCTTCGAAATATGTCATCAATCAGTTAAATGTGCTCGATAACCGATCACGAAAGTTCCATCTCCACGCTCGTCAGTCTTTGATACCGCATACTCTRCAAGTATTTATAGTAAGTAGCAGCTGTACCGCTCGTTGATAATGTCTATATTATTTTTAAGTACTACATGTAGTGTTGAAGTACATGTAGGAGCTCGAGTGGCATAGAAGCTGTACATCAATCAGGCGACTCGCCAAATTCTTAGACCTTTTACATTGCAAACGACGAATTTCACATGCGCTGCATTCAGTAATTTATTTATTGACTTATATAGCGCTCTTTAACATTTAAAAGATCAAAAGCGCTTGCTCAATTCCGCAGTATTTTCTTATTATTATCGATATCGTTTGCTTTGAATACGCGACACAACGTGAGATGCAGTTAGAGTCATCTTGACTATTTACTTGATATTTGTTGGTAAAAACAAACAAACAAAAAAAGCAAAACAAAAACAATAGTGAATTAGGGCGTGATTCCAACAATCTTGTCTCRCTAATCTTTCACGATCATGTATGAAAACAGCCAGTCGTTTTTTAATGGGTTTGTGTGTACAAACAAATCAGAGATCTGTGAAATGTTTGTCSATTAGAATGTGAAGTATTGGTATTTGCGTCCTCGTATGAAGAGTTCAACTATTTCATCACTCTTATCCTTTGAGGATGTTTACAGTGTTTACGACCTCAGGCCATATTCAGCTGTGCTGAGGTGCTCTGATAACATTAACGGGTCAGTGAGGCACGTTCTTCTCTTCTTTGCATGTTGATGTGTCGACTTATTGAGCGGTAATTGCTTGTTTAGCAGCAGTTACGATAACGGCTTTTATAATGAGCTATAAACGGACAAACCAGCACATTTCGTAGTAGTCTTAGCAGTAAAGGCGACGTTAGATTAACTTTCCCGCAATGATATAGCAAGAGGTATGTAGAACTTATTTTTAAAAAAGCAACGAAGGTATATTGTTTTAACTTACTCGAAATCCTAGCACTCAAATGGTAATCTAGTTGGGTGGATGATTTTTCTTATCAAGTTAAAAAATAATAATGCGAATTTTGTTATRCATAAAATGAGGTATGTTCAATTTGTCAACGTGAATCAAGGTCAAAAAACGACAGAATACACAAAGGGTTGGACTTCAAGAACACAAGAAACGACTTTGCTTGAAATGATTTAAAAAAAGACAAATTACAAACATGCCAGAAGTAATTCATGCTCAAACATTTTTTTAATTTACTTGAAAACGAAAGAGAGCCAGTATTGCATGCAAGCACTAGATGAGATTGCAATTGTTCAATATTTCTTTCTTTCTATTTCTTCTTCTTTGTAATTGGTCAATAATAAATCGGAAGAAAAGTGTGCTTTTCGAGCACTTGAACCAAGTAAGAGAGTTTAAGTGTTTGGCGACGTGTTTGAGACTATTTAATTCAAGGATCTTTGTCGTGATTTTTTAGCGATTGTTACCGTTCTGGTTTGTCTCTTTACCTSTTTGTTTCATTGACTAAATTCATTATCCAGTTATTTGGACTTGCGACATGCCGTCGATGAATTGGTTTGCGAAGCAGAGTTGAGCTCGCCACCAGATGTCAGAGACACGAACAGCAAAAAGSCCATTGTGCATCAGCACGCGAACCATCTATCTTCATATGGGTCAAATGCAGCAAAGACTGCTAATGCTGTACCCACCCATAGCAYGCTAAACTATCTCCTTTCGAGACAAAGATGTCGGCGACCACTTGCTATATAGTCTAGAGTGTGTCGGACAGTTGGTTGGGCAGTTCGTTACGTTTTCTTTTAAAGTGGGTTGATGGATGGGTGAGTGGTCGGTTGGTCGGTCTTTTGGTCTCATATCGGACTATTTGACCGCAATTGCATGGTTTTATGGGTATAGTGTTCAATAGATATTGAATACGTGATAGCATATAGTATTACAACCTTAGAAGTGCTTAAACTAGAATATATTGAATAAGTCGGTATCAGAAGCAAGTATGCTCATCGAAAATGCATTTTTCCATTATCGTCAACAGAGCTCTTCTTTCATATTCACTTCTTCAYTTAGTATCCCAACGATGTTTGAAATACCTGTAAAATTGCATTTCATTGTTTCAATTTCAGTATATTTCACTGATTATTTCATATCTCATTTCTCTCGTCAAATCTCATTTCAATCTCATTCTTATCAAGCTTATAATTAAGAGAAATTGTCGCATATTTGTAGATATCGAACGATTAATGAGTGAGTTGAGATCAAAGAATCAGCGACCGGTAACCTGTGTTTGTGAAAGGGAAAAAAAATTCCGGAAACGTCAACTTTGCATGAAAATGTCAAAAATTACACGTTATATATTATTCCGTATACAATCTGATGAAAAAATTTAAAAAAATTGAGTTTTTCTTATTGTCTTTTTTATTCGTTTATAGTGTTTAATGCTTCCTTTTATTGGATGTAGAAACTGAATCGGTATTTTTGTGGTTATAAATAAGGAAAATATAAGAAAAGAAGAAGATATCCTACTAAAATTACATGTCAAAGTATCAATTTTATGTCCCGCTGTCAGCTTTTTTCTTTGAATGGCAGCAATTACCTCAACCACAGTAATGCTATCTGGCTGTAATGTCCTCAAGGCAGTTGCTATTTTTGATCTAAAGATSTTTGACATGTTTCAAGGAAGTTTCGATTAAAAACGTAAAAGAAAAACGGGGAAAAAGAAAGAAAGAAAGAAATTCTGTCCATAAGCCACCCTACGTCGACTTTTACATGAGGAGAATTCAAATGGCTTTTATTTCTGTTTATTACCGTCTCATTGAAGTCGGTTCATGTGAGATGCGGCGCCGTAATAACAAGCTGTAATAGCTGCAGAATGCTATTATTCCAAATCATCTAAGCTTGAATGTTGTTTTGTGTTTAAATGTGTTTATTTGATCAACGGTTTGGCGTAATGATTCTTTTGAAAAGCGCGAAAAATTATAACCGAATAGCGTGTTCTTTAGCTTGAAGGCAGTCAAAACACTAATTTCGCTAAATTACCTTTATCCTACCGTTTCGAAATTATCGTGTSTTGTAATAGGAACATCAGTCTACAAAAACAGCCATTACAATTCCTTGAGAACTTGAAAACATTTCGAAATTGTCTAGAAAAAAAAATTACACTTAAAAATTTGTTTTGGTTCTAGGCCGATTAATTTTGCTTCTTATATTTTCAGCCAATCAGCATTCGCCTAGAACCCGTTTTAGCCAATAATAGCTTCTAGCCAAAGACTGGCCGCAGACGGCTACAGGCCTACAAAGATATTGCACTCTCCTACTTTCAGACAAGATTGCAAGGTAAGATATTATTCGTTACTTATACTTTAAATAAAGGTTTCGTTACTGAACATAGAACATTATCATTGCCGTCAAACCTTTTCCAAAAATCTGGGTGCAGTCTCTTCTAGTATCGCGATTTGTTTCCGAGTTAGAAAATTTTAGTAGTGTAATTACTAAACCTTTTAATACCAAAGCAATACATGTTGTGAGAGGGCAAATTTTCAGTTGTCGTTCATTGGTTTAAATTGGTCAAAAGGAGCCAATTCATAGTAAAAAAAGAAGTTTACAATGCACCTKTGTTATGCCTCGATCTTGTGATCAGAAATGTAATTAGTATTTTCAATGAACAGAATTGATTTGAACAGTTTCGATGTCATGTTTTGTCAGTTAGACAYGTTATATTAGATAAATGACGATGGCCAATTTGTCCGTCATATCATATAGTTTTTAATTAGAAATTATAAAGAAAGTACTAACATATAATAAACTGAAAAAAGTATGAATCACCTGACGAGACAAAATTTSATATGTCTATAATAGTTTTTTATGACAAAAAGTTTGTGTAAAAAATATTTCTATATACACCCATCATGACAAAAGCGTTGTCGCTCTTTATTATAATGACAAAAAATTTCCTTTTTATTAAAGTGTAGATGCTCTTTCAGAATAAAGACGTTTTTGAAATTCCGCCTAATGAAATATGTATCAAAAGCTATATAATCATGGATTTCTTTCTAAAGGCTTCCTTATGAAGGGATTTTGTAACGACCATGTATTTAGTAATGTCGGGCAGTTGGTGTTGTATTTTAGATTGAGGTAGAATATTCTAAACACATAATTTGTTTCGGTTGACTTCAATTAGTTCCATAGTGTGATGAACTRCACTTGACACATTTAACAAGGAGAAATTTAACTTTGTTTGGATTCAAAACATCGGATTACGCAGTTTTSTCGATTAATTGCCCTGCTGGAGGAAATGGAACGAAAATGCRTCAAAAGACAAACGTGAAAATGAGAAAAACTCGAAGTAAATACGAAACTATTATTTCAAATGTGTTTGACTTTTGTTCGTGAAGACTATAAGTATTTCTCTATTTCAACTGCAAAACTGAAAAAAAAAATTGGAGAAAAATGGGAAATATGGAAATATGCGATATGAAGACTAAGCAAAATGAAATAAAATGAAATGAATGRATCATGAAGGAGAGATTAGAAACGAATCGAATGCCAAAGAAAGTTTAGAGAGTAAAAGCGCCTAAAACAAAAACTAAATAGACTTTAAAAGAAAACCTTTAGAATCTAACAACGGGAAAAATGAAAAAAAAAATGGAAGTAAAGAGCGATAAAAGAAAGATAAAACGAATTGGTCCTAATAATCCTAGAAGATATTTACACATTTTACAGCGACATCTTGAAAGTCATGTGAATAATTATCGTAGGCGACGATGCAAATACCTTTAAAAATGGCGCAGGGAACCGCGAATAATACTGCTACCTACGATTCTAAGACTATACAGGARTTATATATTTGAAATATAATAAGACTGTATAAAATCTAAACGGATGAAAAGGAGGGGAAGTTAAAATCTAAAATAAAATAATCAAAGATATTGCATTACTAAGCAAGAGACACAATAAGGTGKACGATTGTTCAAAAGTCTTAATGCATTATTATTATTTATCATATTTTGGTTTCGTAAAGCGGATGTTTTCACATTATCTCGCCTTGGCTAGCCGCGGGCAGGCTAATAAGACTCAAGTGTTATTAGAGACGCGCTTGAGTACTTGTACGGCATCGGTTTTTCAAAGGATCAGTGGAAATATCTGTGTAGGGGAAGGGCGGGTTGTTCTGTGAGTATTATTTGTCTATTCTAAAGAAATCGTGACAGCAGATCTCTTTCTACGGAAGATATCCTCTTGTGCCAGTGATTTTTCGTTTTAGTTTTTCTGCTAGATTTAAAAGAAAAAACGCCATTATGATAAGTTCATTAGTAATTAACAAAAAACCCTACTTAAACGTAAAAGATGGTCGATCAGAGACCGATTGGCATTCTGGGAGTTAACTAATTAGCATACATATATAATGTAAATTGATTTATTCGGTAAACACCGTGTTCAATTTTTTTCACGATTGCCAGTCTCCTTCTTCGCCGAGAATCTATTTATATCTGTACATSGATATTTCAAAACATGTCGACTAAGCGTTACTGGATACTGTGAAACGTCATATTGTATTACAAGAAATTAGTTCCTACCTGTTTTATTGAGGCTATTCTGGCWCAGTTTATATTATTATTTTGTTAATAATAGTAAATAGTAATAATGTATAATATCATCAATATTATTATCGTCATCACCATCATCATCGTCATTATTATTATTTACACTTATTATTATTAGATTATTTATTAAAAATTATTGTTATTAAAAAAATATTATCATTATTATTATCATTATTAATATTTTAATAAACTGTACTAATGATGAAGGTACTAGTGATAAAAAATTCAAAGAGAGATTATTTCACAAATGTTTCCTATTCTGATTTACATCTCAGAAGAGAAAGTGACAAGATGGAATAGTAGATTATATAAGAATGCATAAAACCAAATGTAAAGAAACACTTCTATGTGATCTGGGTAATTTGAATGTTACATATTGAATAAGTACAACTGACAAGGTTAGGATTAAAGCTAAATGCTAATAAACCCATATTGGTTAGTACTCGTTTCTCTTGGATGCTATCAGAGCACGAAGCGAAAAAAGCATATTATTTGCTTGCATGATCAACGGAAGATAAAATATTAAACTATAAATGMGCACTAGTGAATTATAGCTTAATTGTTTTGTAGTTATATACCGTATAGTGCGTTCCAAGATCATAATTCATCGTTAGGCCGAGTCACGCATGGCAGGCATAAACTAAATAGCTTTTCATCGAAGGTGTTCTCTAAACGGAGCTGACAGCAAACCATGATAATACCATAACCAACAATACATTTTTGTATGGAAATACACCACAAGTATCGCAGTATTCAGTATTCAACGTCTTTAGCTGTATATAACCAGGCTTAGGTGGAATTTCCACTTGTCAGAGTCTTAAACCACTAAGCTACTTTACAGCGTTGTCTGAGTACTAACCCTATACAACGGTTTTGTGAACAATCTGCTTTTACGTCAAATTCAATATCAACGATCCACGTTGCATCAGAAACTTTATGATTTCATCATTAATTCTCTGCGGCTCATTGCCCCCGGGTAGGGTTTGTCGTTGATATATAGCATTAGTATAGACCCCTTGCAGTTCATGGGAATGCAGCTGCAACTGGAGGACAAAACAATGGATTCTAGTTCCCAAGAGGATAAAAATCTTTTGTTTTGTCCTCCAGATGAAGCTGCTTTGACGTCACATGCAAGGGGTCTATACGTGATGAGAAAACTTTACTATATCGGATATAACTACTAACGTACATACATCTTGTAAAGTCACACGTACGTGGTTAGGGATAATACTATTTTTACTATCAGATTTATCAAAAGATAACAAATTTTCATATGAGAAAAGCATATTAAGACTGCTGGGAATATGAACTGCTGATGTACGTTAGCAACTGGTAATGTCTGGGAAAGTGTGTCATTCTCTTTACTTAAGAAGACGTGCACTTTGTAACGGGTGGGACTCGACGCCCATTGTGGCATGATTACAGTTGCATCCATAGAGGGATATAAAAGAACATTTCAAACCAACAAGACCAGTCACATTTAATAATGTTATTTTCCGTTTAATGTTTTACATAAGTTTTTCGATATTTTTGTGTAAAATTATCTAACAGCCTGTTTGAAACTTATAACGCGTGATGAACTCAAAATAGATTATGACGTCTATCATCTGGACAGCATTTCTTGGATTAGTTGATTCATATCAAAAGGGTTTGCTAAAGCCTTATTGTAAGGCTAAGAAAAAGCTTTAGGAAAAAGAGCCCTATAACTCAATGTGCTAAATTGTTAACTTGTACTTGAGGTTAAATCTTGTATTGTACATGCGCCGTCGAGACAAGTGGTTAAAAGTCACTCTCAAACTAATTCTACTGAGAGCTAGCACTGGAAATCCTTTTATTTATTCATTTATTGCATCCATCCATCCTTCCATCTATTCACCTTTTGTTTCTTTCAAACTAATGTTGAATTTTCCAATCCATRACTCAGTCAGTACGTAAAAACAGCTAAAGTAGATTTATATGAATTRATAAATACCAACTGTCATAACAACTTCAAGTCGATTTTGCAATCCACAATGTAATTCAAGCGCTCATCACTATCATAATGAATGCAAACTTGTCCAGTTCATCCTTGAGATGCAGTATTGATTATTTCCGCGCGTTTCAACTTAATGAATATTGAAGTTCTTAATACACAAGCATGTGATTGATGTGTGAACGGAAAATACMCACTTGACAACACCATCTATCCTTTCGTCATAGAMAAACTTGTAAGAAAAAYTCGCCTCTAGTTCACGAAAACAACTTTGACTATTTTCTCTCTCTTAACAAAACAAAGAAGCTGACAAATTTGAGCCGATTGAATATCAAATCATTTCGACGCTTATAGGATCCGAACACTAGTTAAATCAAGGTAAGATTATTGGGTTAGACTTATATAATAGTGAATTTTTGAATAGGAAAAGTTTTTGAAGAACTGCGTTTGTTTTGAGTAGCTTTTTGAATGCATAAAATAGAGTTCACTGAGGAGATTTTAGAGTCTCTGTCATATAGCAGGTCATTTGTGTAAGGGCTACGGAAGAAGTGTATCAATGCAAAATGCCTCTCAAATCATGACTTCTCACGAAGAACTTTATTACCAAAATACAAGGCTATGTCAATGAAATGAAATGGAAATTAGGAAGGTTTTGACGATGGTTTAATTACAATATTAGTTACGCTCAAAAAGAAGAGTAATATTGATCATGACTCACATCGTCCAAATGTTACTGTATTCATATTGAATAGCTCTTGATCGTAGAGTCGTCCGTGTGAAGATTATTAATTTTTTTMRSMAAWWWT